TTACATTTTCAACATCATTTTATTATTATTTATTAAGGCACTGTCAAAGAGGTGTGCCTATCCAACAAAGACAGACAGAAATGTGGCATGTCTTTCATTACCCATATTCTGCACTTTGTAATAATCCCCCAATGATGGGAGATGATCGTTTGTTTTCCAGTAACAGTTCTTTAACATTCGCAGCATTGCAAGCGGCTGGTGCTGTTTCTACTGCGCTTGTATGTCCCCGGATGACAGGAAGGTGGATTTGAATGCCATGTCCCAGGGCAGTACAGGGCAGAGGAGCGTGGGAAGACTCACCCGGCCATGGGTCCTCCCCGGTCCAGACTGTACACCTGCCTGGGGTTCAGCAGGTACTGGAACTTCCTGAGCACCCTGCCGACACACACACACACACACACACCCATCACTTACACTGACCGGACCAGCAGGACAACCAGGGGGCATTTCCACTCCAGGCCTCTATTTAAACTGTTTCTACACTCTTCGTCCAATCAGACAGCTGGCTTTCATTTTGTAGAAGCCCAGCAGATGTGTATTACTTGCTTTTGTACTGCTATTTGAGTTTCTTGAAAAGCTCTAATAAATACACCTGTGTTTCTGTAATTAGGGGGACGTGTGGCTCAGTGGGTGGGTCTCTGGATTCACGAATGTAGAGTTGCAGGTTTGAGTCCTTGATGCAGACACTGCTCTTGTAACTTGAGTATACCAGTTGGGACCAGGGGGACCAGTATTGTGTGGACTGCTTCCCCATCCAGTGAGGGAAACCTGTGCTCTCCACTCCGCTTGACTCTACAGACACCAGGAAGAGCTTGGGCCCGATGGGACAGTCAGATATGAGCTTACTTTTTCTTTTTACATCTTCCACCTGATCTGATGAACATGAGGAATATGATGTGAGAGTAAGGGACTTCAAGATTATTAACTAAAAAGACAGCAGGAGCCTGTGTGTCAGAAACTGATGTGGTAGGCCTGGTGTGGTACAGTACGTGGCATTCCCACAAGCCTTTGCATCAAGAAGCGCCTCCGGTTCTCAGGTTTGAATGCGCTTCCCTGTAGTAGAGTCCCCGGGTTCGAGTTTCACTGAGAGACAGGAAGAGAAGGAGCCTCACCTCTCGCCCTGCCGCCCGCCACTCTTGGGGTTCACGAGGACCAGGAGGGGGTGTGTTCCCGGCAGAGGGGTGATCTGGACAGGAAGAAAGTGTTACCTGGACACATCACGCACTCT